CGTAATCTGAGTTCAGTATTGAATAGTGTGGATAAATGGTCTGTTTTAATTGGATAAATCTGTTCGACTGATCTTCTAAACTGTAATAAGTAATTATGTAGTATATTAGCCTTTTGGGTGTGCTGGTGCTGTTTCACTGGTCATTTCCAGGTTAAACAGTAATGAAGTTTTTTGTGCGTTAAGATAAATCAAATGTGTATCTCCTAAGAGGATGAGGTTAGAATTGTACTTGTGGATGTTTTTAGAGCTAGCCAACTCTTCGACGAATTCAAACGAGTTGACTTTGTTTGCGTTGTATGATAGTTTCAAAAGTGTTATTTCCTTGTTAATCCAATATCCTAGAAATTGAAATTTTGTTGTGTAGAAAAACAGTTGAACATTGATTATTTTAAAAAAAAGTTGTTTTGTGCGTTAATTAATTTTAACAAAGTTAGGTCCAAAAATTTACTCAAATTTAACCAGATTACCACAAAAACAGGCTCTTCTTCGGCAACCAAAAATTAAGCCGAAACCACTCGACTAAGTAATGAACAAATTAAATCAATAAACCTCAAAAAAGATTTTTCGACAATTAAACAAAATTTTTTCATTTATGCAAATTTTGAGAAACTTGATGCTCTCTAACTTTTTTCTTCATCATTTTTTGTCTATTTTTGAACAAATTAGAGAGAAACATATTTTGATTTTCAAAGTCGAAACTTTTTTCCGGATAATTTAAATCAGCTTTTACGTTTTTTTTTCTAAATATTTTATTGACTCTACCTATTGAGTTTAGGTCCGGAGAGGCATCCTCATAAAAAAATTTTGGTACACCATCTGTTCATCACGCTATCTTATTCTTGGCTGGATATATTAGTGCCAGTTCTTAGTCTAGTACCGATCTTAATCCTATTCTTATATCTACTAGAATCAATAGATTTAGTGTTTACTGGTATTTTTTACTGGAAGTGTTAGTATTAGTGGTAGGGCGATTCATACGTAGGAGCTGTGATGATGAAGGTCGATTGATTAAGCATCGAGGTGCGTTCGTGGGGTGTTTTTGTTTCATGAGGATGCGTTGTGTACGGGTGGGAGTATTACTGATGGATGATGTTGATGTTTCTGATGGTGAGGCTGAGTTAATTGGTGGATTGCAAGTTACCGGTCAGTATTATAAATTTGTTGCTCATGTGGATGAAAGCCGTCGAAGTTGTGTTCTAATTGGTCGTCTGTCATAGGGCTCGGGGTATCAGGGAGAGTGCTAGAGAGAGGGGAATTCTTTGAAAGTTGCGTAAACACAGGAGAAATTGGAATTCGAGAGGTTTTTTTACTGGAACTGAGGGAATTATTGGAGTAAAGGGTGTTGTGAGTAGTTAGTAGTGGGACTCGGTTTTGATTCGAGAACTTCATCAGGAATCTCGATAGCAGGGTTGGTTAAAGATTTGTGTGTATCCAAATCTGTTTGAATAGAATTATCGGAGTGCATGTGAGACGAGTTGGTTGCGAAAATTTAAAGCTGGGACTGAATACTGGAAAAGGAGAAGAAGTGAGGTCAGAAATGGAAATGAGAGAGTGTTGTCGCTGGAGATTGGAACAATATGAGAGGGAGCGATGGCGGCTCATCGTGGGCTAAAAACATGAGACTGTGTTGCATTTGATTGCTTTGATGGATGTGTGAAGCTAATGAAAATGTAATTCAATACTTTGTTTGTGGGACTAATTGCAAATTAGTAAGAATTGATAAATTGTGTATTTATGGTGGTGCTGTTGGAGTAGTATGTGTGTACTTTTGTGCGGTACTGTATATGTTTAGTTTTTTTGATTATTTGTTATTATATTCATTGGGTTGAGATTTTAGTTTTTTTTTTGTTGTGGTTGAAAAAAATTCCAAAAAATCCGGTGAATAACATTCTTGCCCCGCTGGCCATGTTATCCAAAAAAACCATTTCATCATATTAACTAACTTGAAACATTTTGGCGCAAGAATATCATCAGAAAATTGATTTTGTTCAAAATGATTTGCTTTATAAAAATAACTTAGAGTTTTTGAAAACTTCGTCGATTGAATAGCTGGTGTAGGAAAACTGTAACGTTACCGAAAGGTAACCATTTTAAAAAACAAACTGCTTGTTTTGAATTTTAATCCATTGATTGGCCGCAGAGTATAAACTAAATTTCTAGCCATCGAAGTCATTTCATGGTTCAAAATGAAATTTTTCAAGGTTTCAAAGCCTAGAAAACCTGCTTGGGAAAACTTAAGTTTTGCGGCGAACCGAATCATTCTATAAACCTATTTGAATAGGTTGCTGAGGAAAACCTTGATTTTTTGCGGATCAATTCAGCTTATGAAATAACCTATATTGTTTCAAAAGTTCAAAGCTTGAATAGCTTCAACAGAAAAAAAATAAAACTTTTGCCCTAAGATTCGTTTCATGAAAAATCTTAAATTGTTCAAAAGTTGAATCGGTTGAATAGGTTTCCGAGCACAACTAAAAATTTTTTGAACTGACTCAACCTGTGAAATAGTTTCAGTTTGTTCTAAGTTTCATAGCTTGAATAGTTTGACTAAAAACAAACAAGTTTTGCGAGTTGGTTGTTTTTTTGAAAACTTTGAAAAACTTTTTGAAAGAATCATTGCTCGGATAGCTTGCTTAAAGAAATGGTATTGTATGCAAACAGATTTGGTAATACAAGAATTAGAAGTTTTTTGCCGCTTGATTCTGTCAATGAAACAAATTGAATTATTTTGTCGCTTTAATCACTTTAGAAGAAAAACATAGTTTTTTGCCAACTGGTTTGCTCTGCAGAATAGATTGGACTATTTGAAGGTTTCATTGCTTAAAACGCTGACCTAAGAAAAATGTAACCTCTATAAAAGAGTTCAGTCTAACATATAACTTGCAAAGTTTCCAGGTTTCTCTGCTAGAATGGCTTCAGTGGAAAAAAAACGCTTATTTCATGATTTAAATTGAAATCTTTCGGAGTTTTGAAATTTGAGTAGCTGGCCTCAAAAAACTTAATCCGTTTAGCGAATCAATTCGTCTATAAACTAACTTAAAATAATTCAAATTTTCATGTTTTGAAAAGCTTGCTTAAAGAAAAATTGATTTTTTCTGCAAATCGGTCTGGCCGATAAAACCACCCGTAATATTTCAAAAGTTCAATGCTTGAAAACATTCAACAGAAAAATTTAGAGTTTTGCCATCCGATTCGCTTGATCAAGTAACTTGAATTGTTTCAAAGCTAACGCGCTTGGACAACTTCAAAAATGTTTTCACAATCCAAAATTTTTCAAAATTAAAAAAACTTCATAGCTTGAATAGTTTGCTTAGAATTAGCAAATTTTTGCGACTAAGATACTGTATAAAAAAACTTGAATTGTTCTTCATGAAACAATTTGAATTATTTAAATTATTCGAATAACTGCTTTATTAAACGAAGATTCATCACTCGGATAGCTTGCAGATGAAAACTTGTATTTTTCGCAAACTCATTTGGTCTATAAGAAAAGTAAGATTATTTCGTGTCTTGAATATCTTCAATAGAAAAACACTATTTTTTTGCCAATCGCTTTGCTTTGACATTTAAATAAAATTGAAATAACTTGACATTTAAATATTTGCATAGCTGGATTAGCGAAAAAAAAAATTAATTTCGAGCACACTAATTTGCTCTCTGAAGCAAATGGTTTTTTAAAAAACGTTTCATCGCTTTAATAGTTTGCTCAGAAAAGGCTTTTTTTCGAGCTGATTCGGTCTATAAAATAACTTGAAAACATTTTTTAACTAAAATATTTCAATTTTCTCAATGAAAAAAAGTAAATTATTTCAAATTCTTAAAGTTGAAATAGCAAACTTAAAACATTTCAATTTGCTTCATAAAAAAAACTTAAATTATTTCAAAACTTTGAAGTTTGAATTATCTTGCTCAGAAAAACTTGAAGTTTAAATTATGATTCGGTTCAAAGCAAACTCAACATTTTTCAGCTTCGTAACTGGAATACTTTGCTGAAAAAAAAAATAAATTTGAAAAAACCTGAAATAATTGAAAGTTTCGCCGCTTGAATGGCTTGCTAAGAACAACATTATTTCATATTAAAAAGATTCACTCTGCGGAACAGCTTGAGAATTTTCATTTTTTTGCTTAAAAGTTTTGCATGGCAAAATTTTATTTTTTTGCCATTTGGTTTCATCTAATATAACGCGTAAAATATCTCAATATTTTATAACATGAATAGGTTGCATAGAAAAAATGTTTTTTTTTTGCGGACCGTTTCGGCATGTTTCAAAAAACTCATTGACTGATTAGCTTGCTTTAAATTTGTTGTAAACCAATTTCATCTATGAAATAACTTGGTTGTTTACAGAGTTTTATAGCTCGGCTGACTTCGATAGAAACACTTAAATTTTTTCGCGATTCGATTCAGTCATGAAATAACTTGAAATACTTTAAAATTTGATAGCTTGAATAGGTTGCTTGGAAAAACTAGAAAGTTTTGCGAATGATTCGTCGAAGAACAACTTGTAATATTTTGACAATTCATCGAGGTCAGTTGCGAGGTGATTTGGTCTATGAAATCAGTCTTTTGTCTTAAATTAATTCAACTCACATTTCACTTGAAAAAAACAAATTCGAAATATTTCAACTGTTTTAAAATTTGAATAACCATTTTACGACATTTCATTTCGCTCCATAAGAAAAACAACTTGAGTTTTAAACAACTTGAGTTTTTTAAAACCTTTTAGCTTGAGTAGCTTGCTTAGAAAAATTTAAAGTTTGCGCAAACCGATTCGGTCTAAAACTAACTTCAATTTTCTCAAG